AGGAGCCATTGGTTGTTAGCCTCCAAGTTAAAGAATCTGGGCGTGAGGGGTTCAACAGTGGTATAGATAGGATGGATTGAGCATCTTGATGATTGAAGAGAGTTTGAACTCGATGCGAATCCCACTTGTGAAGAGTGCGATCAATGAGGTCGTGGACAGTGAGAGATTCGTATCCTTGAGGGGCTGTTGAGGTAACATACGGGCTATGTGAGTTGCGGAGCCACGAATCCTACCAAATGTTAATAGAAGAGCCATTCCCTATACACCACCTGGCACCTTGCCTGATTAGAACCTGTGAAGCGTGGATGCTTCTCCAAATAAAACTTGGGTTGTGGCCCAGGCGGGCACCCAAGAAATCCCCTTGAGGGAAGTATCTAGCTTTGAAGATCCGTGTAAATAGAGCATCTGGGTTGGACTGTAGATTCCACCCTTGCTTCCCAAGCATAGCCAAGTTAAAACCATGGAGGTGACGGAAGCCCATACCGTCGTACTCTTTCCTCATAGTGAGTTTGTCCCAGCTTAACCATTTGATTCCTCGCCCTGTATGGTGGTTGGAGCCCCACCAGAAGGAGTTCAACATTCTTTGAATTTCATCTTCGAGGCTGGTTGGTAGAAGGAAGGTACTCATGCAATAGCTGGGGATTGCTTGTGCCACTGCCTTGATAAGGGTCTCGCGGCTAGCCTTTGAGAGATGTTTGCCTGTCCAGTGGTTGATCTTCTTCCATATGCGATCTTTGACGTAGGAAAACACTGCCCTTTTGTTTCTGCCCACCATGGATGGGAGGCCTAAATATTTTCCAGTGCCAATGCATTTGTGAACCCCCAGAATAGCGTTGATGGACGTGCGCGTTCGTGTAGTAGTATTTTTGCTGTAGTAAATCTCTGACTTTTGCAAGTTGATGGCTTGTCCTGATGCACTCTCGTATTGTTGAAGAATGGTGCGAAGAGTGGTGCACTCGCGTTCAATGGCTTTGCAGAAAAGGAAACAGTCATCCGCGAATAGCAAATGTGAGACTTGCGGTGCGCCTCGACAAATTTTAGCCCCGTGGAGTTCCCCTCTAGCTTCTGCTTTTCGTAATAAGGAAGAGAGCCCTTCAGCACATAAAATAAAAAGATAGGGTGAGAGGGGGTCACCTTGGCGTAGTCCTCGCTCTAGTGATATAAACATGTTTTTAATATCTAATATATATTTTTAGATGATAATTTATTTTAAAATATATTTTATAATAACAATTCTAAATGAAACATAAATCTTTCGATTTTTCTTTTTTGATTATTTTTAATCAACATATACAATTTTACTATTTTGATTTTTTTAATCAACGTATACAATAAATAGAAAACACAAAAGATAAACATGCATACTACAAATTTTATTTTATCAAAAATTATTTTTTTTAATATATCACATTATATATGTGAATATTAATATATATATATATATATATTATAATTAAACTTTTTTTTAAATTGATTCATTATTAAAGAATATTCTTTATCACATAAAAGAATTAATCTCCTTTAAAAGTTTGATAGACATCAAATAAATAAACATTTTTTCCGAATCTATATTTTATACATATGATAATTTAAACATATAATTTTTATTTTTTAAAATATATATTATGTATATATGAAATAGTAGTGGGGGCAAGTGCCCCCACTCTCCAACAAATGCATCCGTCCCTGTATATATGAACTGTTTGCATGGTAAATCTTAGTTACGGTAAAGTGTAGAGACATGTTAGGTCATTACACACCTTGCTTGCTAAAAAATTCAAAAAAAAAAAGAAAAAAATTATATATTTATTTTGGATTCTTCTTCTAACATATTTATTTTTTAATATCTAAATAATTCATATAAATTAATGTACCTAAATAATAAAATAAATATTAAGCTATAATAGATTTTATTTGATTTGCTCCACAACAAATACCAAATTTGATACATAATAAAATAGATATGTAAGAATAATAATAATAATAATAATAATAATAATAATAATAATAATAATAATAATAATAATAATAGCTCTTCAACATATTTATTGTACAAAAAATTTCAAATCACATATGATAAAATAAATCAAATATATAACATATTTAATGTACAAAAAATAAAAAATTACTCACATAATAAATATATAATTTATCTAAACTTAATATTTAAAAATAAAAAAATAGTAAGTTAAAAATCTAACTCGTCCTAACCCACCATTTAACAGAATGAACTAGCAAATTAAGCGAAATGGATTAATATACCTAATTAACCTAACCTGCAAATATTTCCAACTCATTTTATTGAATTGAACATCATTTAAGCTCCATTTTGCCAAACACGCTTCATTTTTTAAAATACATTTGAGGACCAAAAGTTCGCAACCGTGAATGGGTGTAATTTAATTTTTCTTTTAATAAAAACTTGAAAGTGAAAATCATCCCGAATGGCCTTATTGGAATAGCATGTGTGCTTATTGCACACCATCGAAACCTTCTGAATCACATTTACAAGGCGTGAATGTATTTTTATAGTTTATAAAACAAATAACAATTCTTCTATTAAAAAAAGGGGGTGATGTTATCTAATCAAAAACTACAATTTATGATAAAATATTGATATTTATAATAAGTGAATAACTATCTTAAAAGTCATACCAACTATATTCCACAGAAAATGTAAACTTTTTACTTAATGCGTATGAGTATTAAACTCTTATTTTTTATTTATAGATATCAATAAAGTTCGCCTCCTTTAAGTGGCGGAAGCATTCTGAATTGCAGCCACAAATCCTTGGAAGCGATAGTAATATATCTCTGAATGTTAGGACACACTTAAATGCCACGGCACTTCATTCAACACCTCAAAGTCTCAAACCAACCAATACAAAAAAATCACAACTTCCTCAAAACTTCGACCATCTAAAATTTGATTCTCTGCCTACTGCTAATATATGGAAGATTGCTCAAGAAAACCACTCCATCGCATCTAGAAACTCAGTATGTTCAAAGTTTGCCTACTTGCATATCTAGCTCATTTTGTTTTGGTTTAAACTTGAGAAACAATGTCTTGCTTCCGTACCAAACACTAATTCAGTTCCTTTGCAGGACGCTCTCACCAATAATCACGCAGCCAAATTCAAGCTTCTTAAGCCACTGAAAAATTACAAATTTATATTAATAAATATCTTTAAATATATCAATTATATTTGTGAAAAATAATTTATATTATGAAAAAAGATACTTATGAACAGATTCATCAACTAATAAGAAATTATTCTAACGTAACTAATGATTTCAAGTTCGAATCTTGAATATGCCTACAGTAAGTCCTATATGTAAGAGATAATTTTCTAATACCATCAATTATAGAAAATTAAAATGCTCTTTGATATTCATGATTCTCACATAATAATATGGAATAGTGTGTAACTTTTTCTAAAATAAAAATCTCCTTTCTAATCTTTAGAACACTTTAATCTTCTTGAGAAGAGAAGAGAGCTAATATTTTACTCCCTTTGACTTTTCTTTTACTCTCTTTATCTTTCACGATGACTATAGGATTTGAGAGAATATTTTCTATTGAAGATGTTAATCCCATATTAGTGGATATTTATAATGCCTAAAATATCATTATTCCCATCAAATGACAATTATTTTCAAAATTTCTCTATTAAGCTCATTTATAATTTAATACTTAATTATTTAAATATTTATTCATTAGTCTCTTTATACATCAGATGTCTTTCACATAAAACATAATTATCTTACACTATATATTCGAATAGGATTGCCTTCGACAAAGGATATACATGTGATTTAGACAAAAAATAAATATTGTAACACAATATTATTTTAAATTATTAATAATTTATTTTTAAATTGTCAAATTTAATTTAGAAATATGTGATAAATATAAAATAAAATAAATAAAATTTTTTAAAATTGCTAAAAATCCTCTCAATGAAGACAAATGCCTAAAAACTCTTCTTAAAAAGAAGTTTATAAAAATAGTTTCACTATCCTTAAAAAAGAAGCTTTTAAAAATAATTTTATGCCTGATAACTATCCGTATTTAGTATATAATTATAAATTACGTGCCTAACTCGGCAGTATTAAATTCTCTTAATATCAAACATAATTGCTTACATATTGAATTGATTGAATGTTTCTCTAAAGATTCACACATGCACACCATCCTACACACATACATACACACACACACATATATATATATATATATATATATGTGTGTGTATGTGTGTGAATATATGAAGATATATTTATTTACTTCAAGAATAAGTCTTGATAAAATTACTTTATCAATAACTCGTAATTTAAGTTAAAATTCAACAATCTAATAGTTAAAATAATTTTTTTAATTAATAAATCAAATTTAACTTTTTTTATTACAATAATTTAAATTAATAGTTATTCACAAAAATATATTATATTTTAATTTAAATATACATATTGAAGTATTATATAACTTTTTATGTTTTTTTTTTGAAAATACACGATGGCACGGAATGCCTTTATTACGCTAGTTATCAATACTATTAATAAATGGGATTGTTCCTATTTGGTGTCCGTATTTTTTGAAAAAATTTTGCCCCTAAAATTACCTTTTAAAACTACTTTTTCTCTACCGTTTTTTCAATATTACTCTTATAACTACAACCACCCAAAAATTATTCACACCCTTTTATTGTTAACCACTAACTTCTATTTTTTTATTTTTAAATACATGGAAACACAAAAAATGTTTAACATATTAGTTATTAGATTCATCTAATACTAATATTAGTTATTAGTATAGAAACGTAGATATTATTGATACTATAATTAATATATATATATATATATATATATATATATATATTAAAAAAATTCATTTGTGTAGTGGTTAAATATTATTATTCTCATCTTCTTATATAAAGGACGGAAAATATAATTAAACTTAAAAAATAATAACAATAATAACGAACATAAAGAAAATTAAATTTCATAGGTATTAACAAAGTTTGTAGTGTATGGTCTCCTTTTAAATACCGTAAACATTTTGATTCTAGCCACTGATCCTTTCAAAATCTCTGATCCTTTAGCTCTACTTGCCATGGCACTGCATTTCAAATCGTGCTTTCACTACCTCAAACCTCAAACTATTGGAACAAAGGCACAACTTTCTCAAAACTCTGACAATGTCAAATTTGATTTTCTACCAACAGCTAATAAATGGAACATTCTTCAAGAAAACCTGTCTACAGCATGCAGAAACTCAGTAAGTTCAAAGTTTTCCTACTTGCAAATCTTGCTTGTATACCATTGAGATAGACTAATTCAGTTTCTTTGCAGGATGATCTCAGCAATAACCAGGCAGGGAAATTGAAGGTTCTTAAGCGTGTGTTTACCAATATCGTTAATGTTAATGAATGTTCACCGCAAGGAATTTACATGATCGATGCAATACAGCGCTTAAATATTGATTACCACTTCCAAGAGGAAATTGATGCATTCTTAGAGAGGCAATATGTGATTTCCACCACCAATTGGGATGCCTTCGGCAACGATCTCCATCAGATTGCACTATACTTTCGTTTATTTAGACAACAAGGTTATTATGTGCCAGCAGGTAGCTTTCTTATTTTTATTTATTTTCAATGAACAATGAAATAAGTTAAAAAAATGAGTTGTTATATATGATAGACTGAAAAAAAAGGTATATTATTGTGTTGGAAACATGTTCAGATGTGTTTGACAAGTTCACAAACAAGGAGGGAAAGTTCAACCAAAATCTTGGTGGAAATATTAAGGGAATGATAGATTTATACGAAGCCTCACAGTTAAGCGTAGCGGGGGAAGACATGCTCGATGAGGCAGCACAATTTAGTGGGCTAGTGTTGAAGGAAAAGATGGCTTGCCTTGATGATCATGAAGCTAAGTTTGTAAGAAAAACCTTAGAACACCCTTTTCACAAAAGCATGGCAATGTTCACCGCTCAAGATTTCTTTGGAGATTTCCATGGCATGAATGGATGGTTAGGTTCCTTCAAACAAGTGGCAAAATTGGATTTCAGTTTGTTGCAACGCTTACACCAGCAGGAAATTATTCAAGTTTCGAAGTAAGTCTCTGCAGGTTGATTTGGGATACTAGTTGATTTTGTGATTAAGAGGCTAGCTAGCCCTCATGGTTCATTCTTTTCCTTATTGTTTTTTTGGCAGATGGTGGACAGAACTTGGTTTAGCTAATGAGTTAAAACTTGCCAGAAATCAACCACTGAAATGGTATATTTGGTCCTTGGCATGCCTCACGGATCCTACTTTATCAGAAGAAAGGATTGAGCTCACAAAACCAATCTCTTTCATCTATTTAATAGATGATATTTTCGATGTGTATGGTACGCTTGATGAATTAAGACTTTTCACAGATGTTGTTTCCAGGTACATGCAGAAAACTTGTTATATATGCTATATTGTTCTTAAAAGCAAAGAAAAAGAATGATTAGTTTTTGTTGAATGCAGATGGGATATTACAGCTTCTGAGCAGCTACCTGATAACATGAAGATATGTTTCAAGGCACTCTATGATCTCATTAATGAAATTAGTTCCAAGATCTACCAGAAGAAAGGGTGGGACCCCACTGATTCTCTTCGAAATGCGGTAAAAGTAAAATTACTCATTAACATGCAAGAAAACTTGTTAGTGTGATGGCATGATTATTACAGAATTGTCTATTGTCTGCAGTGGAAGAGTTTGTGCAAAGCGTTCCTGGTTGAAGCAGAATGGTTTGCTAATGGGAACATGCCGAGTGCTGAAGAGTACTTAAAGAATGGGATAGTGAGCTCTGGAGTGCACATTGTGCTTGTTCATATTTTCTTTCTTTTGGGTCAAGGATTAACCGAGGAAAATGTTCACACCATAGATGGAATTCCATCCATTCTTTCTTCCTCGGCAACAATTCTTCGCCTTTGGGATGACATGGGAAATGCAGAGGTAAAAAATGTTTGTTCCTGTATTAGAATACATACTTTGCTTATCCGAGCTGTCGCAAGTCTGATCCTTGGTCTAGGTCTTCTCGTTCCGTTCTAGGTAGTCCGAAGTAGGAGGGTGCCTGCAAAAGACACTCCAACGCTCAAGTAAGTGTTCGGCGTATTAAATGCGGTAGTTCAAAGTTAGTTACGTACCTCGTTGGAAGTCTATTTATAATGGTTGTTGTTGGGCCGTGATTAGAGATTGAGCCCCAGGAAATTAGGGGGTTAAATCAGTGTATTAGGTAAACTAATCTCTCCTTAATTAACCTGGCTTAACTCCGAAACCTAGCCGACCAGACCGACCACCTCTTGACCGAGTTGGCCTGGTCGGCGTGTATGGTATGGGTGGCTGAATCGGGTGTTCGGCCTTCTTGATTTCCATCTGGTATACAACCCCCGCAGCGTCAAGAACTGGAAGGACGAAGGCGGTAACAGGTACTTCTGTCTGTCACGATGCTCTATAACAGGGACTTATGTGGACTAAACGTTGAAATAGGTCCGTTGTGTGAGGGTTCTGCCGACCACTAGAAGTCGGGCATGGCTGGCGGTACCATGGCATTGTAGTTCTTACCGACCCTTAGTGTCAGGCGTGGATAGTGCCGCGTAGGGCGTGGAAAAATGTATCGACGCCTCAAGCTGAGCATAACCTTGATAATGGTGCTAGGCATGGAAGGTCTTGCCGACCCCTCAAGCTGGGCATGACCTTGATTACGGTGTTAGGCGTGAGAGGCCTTGCCGATCCCTCTAGCCGGGCATGACCTTGATAATGGTGCTAGGTGTGGAAGGTCTTGCCGACCCCTCGAGCTGGGCATGACCTTGATTATGGTGTTAGGCGTGAGAGGCCTTGCCGATCCCTCGAGTTGGGCATGACCTTGATAATGGTGTTAGGCGTGGAAAGCCTTGCTGATCCCTCGAGCTGGGCATGACCTTGAGAATGGTGCTAGGCGTGGAAAGCCTTGCCGATCCCTCGAGCTGGGCATGACCTTGACTATGTTACGTTGGTCATAGACTGTCTCGACGACTCGAACGGCAGTTGAGCCCAACGGTCGCGAGATCTGGGTCGTCCAACTGTTTGGATCTAACGGCTAGGGACTCGAGACGTCTTTTCACCTCTCCCATTTTACCTTGCCTATAAATAGGAGGGGGGTGTGTGGATTTTACACATTGTAAAATTTTCGAGAACCCTCAACCAACAAGAATATCCGAGACAACTGAGCAAGGTAAGAATTTGTATCGTTTAGGTCCTAGTGCTAAATAGAGAGCGGTTATTCCTCGGCTAGGAGCAGGACATCGTCCAAGGCATCAGGGGCTTCAGTAGAGAAAGAGGGGTTGGACTCGAGTGAAGTGTCAAGGTTGCCTTCCTTGCAATGTGAAGTTGTGTTCCCCTCGGACTTTGCCGACCAAGAGGATAGCGGGGACGAGGTGGTGGAGGTGTCACCGCCCGTGACCTTTGCCACATGCCGAGATGAAGGGCTAGGTGTGACCTCGGTACGGGGAGATGAAATAACCCCTCAAGCCAAAGCAAGTGGTGAGGGTGTGGGTCGGGTTGATAACGCTAAGAACGAGGTCGCAGGTCGTGTGAGTACTCGGGTGAAGATTGACTATGGGACGGTTGAGATGCCTGGGTACGAGTGGATAGACGGAGAAGTCGGTATCTATTTATTGTCTTTCTCATATCAGGGTTTGCTAGACAAGTTTATGACGTTGGAGAAGTGCTTCGAGAGTGGGGAAGGAGAGTTCCCCTTGATCGTCAAGGCGTGCCACGACGACAAGTCGGACACCGACTTCGTTTTCTTGGAGCAAGGGTCGGACGAGGACAACTTCTTCTACACTTATATGTGTTGGTTTCAAGACCTCGGTATAGAGCTACCCTTCGATGATTTTCAAATGGGGGTGCTTCGAGTCCTGAACGTTGCGCCGACCCAACTGCATCCGAACACTTGGGCCGCCATGCAAGCCTTCCAGAACTTATGCCTCTGCCTGGGCCTTACTCCCCAACTGTTGTCTTTCCTTTATTACTACATCTGTCATCTGAGCCGGGCGACAAAATGGGTTTCCCTGGCTCGGGTGCCAAAGCGTGGCTTTCTGAGGGCGTTCATGTCCTCGTACAAAGGTTTTAAGAGTGGTTTTTTTTAAAATCTGCTGGGGTTCGGATCTGGCCAGTTATTTCTTTGACCGAGAGGGGTCTAAGTTATTCCCTTTCTATTGGACGAAGAATTCGACACGTTTCGAGGCGATGTCTGCGTCTAAGCTCCCCACCGAGGATCAAGAAATTGTAGCTCTTCTTGACAAGTTGCCGAAGGGGTTGCCTGTCCGATGTCTCCTTGACATTTTCGAAACTCCTAATTTTGAGTTAACACTACTAGGTATGCTTTCTGGCTTCGGTAATGTAGCAGTGTTTAAAATTGATGTTAAAATTTGTTTTGTTCCAGGATTAGTGGCTGGTGTCGGTGATGACATGGATGTGACCACAATGCTCGCTAACCGAGCCAAAGCCGCAAAGGCAAGCGGGAAAGTTCCGCCTCCTCGGTCGGCCTTGAAGATTCAACGGGAGAAGCCGTCCAACGTCTTGGTTCTATTGGGCGATCCAAAGAGGAAGACCAGCTCAGCTCGAGTGAGGTCATCTGAGCCGATTACTGAGACAGATTGCCTGAGCTTGTCCATGAAATGCTAGAAGCAACCGACCTTGGAGCAGTCGAGCTATGGCGCCTTCGCTCTGCCGGCGGTCGTGGCCAGATCCAACTTTCTTGTGCCCTCCACCCAAACCGAGAACCTAGTTGGCCTGGACCTGACCTCCAATGGCGGACTTCAGTACTTAGAGGGAATGTCCTCAGATGCCGAGTATAAGCTCTTCTGTGAGCTCGATGCTCGGACTTCGTTGGTCGCGAAGCACATTATGAAGAGGTCGACGATTGGGGAGGGTCGGCTTCAGGGGCGTCTTAGGGAGGCCGAGAACAATTTACAAGAGGCGTTGAATGCCAATGCTAGGATCACCGCATCGGCTGAGGAGCTTAAAAAGGCTGCCGATGCACATAGGAGGGAAGTGAAGCTAACTGTGCAAAAGCTTCAGGCCGAGGCCGCCTCTGCGACTAGTGAGATTGCTTGGCTGAATGAGGCTGCTGCGAAGCTTAAAGCCGATGCTACCGAGAAAATTCTTGCACAGCATGACGTCGGCTTTCAACACACTGTCTGACAGGCGTTCTATTTCTATGAATTGCCCTCGGACTTTGAGTTCGACGTCAGCCGGGACTTTTATGGGGGAAAATTTATAAGTTATGCCGAGTTTCCCTACGGAGCGAAGCCTGATGAGGAGGCTCCCCCTCGAGGGATTTTGACCCACGCCCCCGAGACAGGGGAAGAGGATGTCGAGATCAACGTGACCGGCGACGGGAATGCAGTTGTCTCGACTGCTGTGTGAAGGGTTGCTCGGGGTGGGGGTAAGTTAGGCTTCTTAGGACTTGTAACCGGGCCGTCAGTGCCTTTTGTAATTCGTCTCTACCATTGGCGCCGATGAGACCTAATTTTTTGTGTAATTAGCCGTGTTTGATCGGCCATACTTGAATGATAGTTTATTTTGCTTTAATTTTTTTTGCGATGTTCAATAATGTTTAACCATATAAATACGTAACCGAATTGTATGCTCGGCAAAGGATAGCATTTCCGTTGGGGCATTCCATTGTAGTATTTTGCCCGATGGGTGTTTAGGATATCCCTCGACGCGGGGTATGCTCGGAAAAGGGAGTAGGCTTTGTGATTAGGGGTCAACCCCATATCTTCCGTGAGCGGAGTGCTCGGCCGAAGGAGTGACAGACCAAGGTGTGTCCTTAGTCGAGGGGGGTACTCGGGAGGAATCTGTCGGGCTCGAGATTTAAGGGAGTGCTCGGTGTGAGGTGTCGGTAACAGAGTACTCGATTTAGAAGCAATTGGTCAAGATACATCCTTGGTCGAGGAGGGTCCTCGGGAGGGAAACCTGTTAGAGTGCTCAGCCCTGGTACATCCTTAACCGAGGAGGGTACTCGGGAGGGAAACCTGTTGGGCTCAAGTGCACGGCTTGAGCGGAGTGATCGACATACGTCTTTGTCGACGGTTTGGCCGAGAATTGCACTCGGCGTTGGGGCATGCTTAGGTCAAAATTAGACGTTAGAGTGCTCAGCCCAGGTACATCCTTAGCCGAGGAGAGTACTCAGGAGGGAAACCTGTCGGGCTCGAGGGCACGACTGGACGAAGTAATCGGCATACGTCTAGCGACAATGTTTGGCCAAGAAAAGTACTCAGCGTGGGTGCGTGCTTAGGCCGAAATTAGACGTTAGAGTGCTCGGCCCAATGGTGGAGTAGTTCCTTCCATGGATGATGATAGTGTGATGAAGGGAGACTCCTTGCCCTTGATCTAGGTTCACCAAGGGGGGGACAAAAGGGAGGTTTATGGTGACAAGGGAAGCTAGCCGTGAAATGGTTGGCGGAAGTGTTTAGGGTGGCGGAAGCATATGGTGAAAGGTGTTTGGTGCTCACAAGGTTGGCTCACTCCAAGTGTAGATAGAGGCCAATCTAGGGTTTCACTCTCCAAAGGTGGAGAATGAAGGTGGCTAGCCGAAACTAACCTAGGGACTAAGGATAGGATTTGAGGCAAAGAAATGCTCTCTCAAATTCATATAATCCAAAGTATTTACATGATGCATAGCCTAGGGTATTTATAGGAGGGGAGGCATCTAGGGTTGCATTTGGAGTAGGAAAATGCATTCCAAATGAAATGCAAATGAACCCTAGATGCAATTTGGTGGCCAAGGATGGAATCTTTGGGTTTAGATTGGCTATATCTAGGTGCATGATAAGACCATGCAACCTTTGCCCTCCACTTGGGCCTAAGCCTTTCTAACACCAAAAATAGGTCCAATGGTCACCAAATTTGCGTCACCCTTTTAATGTACACCCTAGCCCAAAATTAAAACCCTAATCATCTAAAGCACCCCATAATACAAGGGTAAAATGGGAAATACAAGAGAAAATAAATCCTATGACTAAGATACCCCAAAATACAAGGGTAAAATTGGAAATACAAGTAAAATAAATTCTATGACTAAAAATACCCCAAAATACAAGGGTAAAATAGGAAATTAAAGACAAGGGCAAAATAGGAATAAAGAAATAAATGCTATAAAACTTAGGAGCTAAGGTCCAAAAATGGCCTTACTATCCCATTCCTCTTGCCTCCTTTAGTATATCACCTCTTGGTCTTCTCGGCCTTAGTGTTATCCCATCACCCAGGTACATCCTTAGCCGAGGAGGGTATTTAGGAGGGAAACCTGTCGAGCTCAAGGGCACGACTGGAAGGAGTAATCGGCATACGTCTAGCGACGGTGTTTGGCTTAGAAAAGTACTCGGCGTGGGTGCATGCTTAGGCCAAAATTAGACCTGTGTGAGCGCGACCAATATATACGTGTACGATAGATTTAGCAATAATATCACAAATACGAATTGAAATTAAAGTCTTTATATATTCGTTTAGTGCCTCGTTAAAAACCTTGCCGACCCAAAATCCTCCTTAGGAAAAAAAGAGTCGGTCAAGGAAAAGAATGCACTGTTATACATCAAATGTAGTACATCTTTAAGTGAGTAGAGTTCCAAGTTCTAGGAATTAGCTCTCCTAATAGGTATTCTAACTTGTACGCTCTGTTGTTTAAGTTGTGTCGTATGCGAAAGGGTCCGTCCCAGTTTGGGGCGAGTTTTCCATGTCTCGGGTCCTTTCTTGCTTCGCTAGTGACTCTCCAAACGAGGTCGCCTTCCCAGAAATCTCTTGGTCGTACCTTGGTATCGAACTTCCTCTTGTAGCGTTGCTTGCATGCCTCGGCTATCACGAGTGCTCGGTCTCGGATCTCTTCCACAACATCCAGGTTTGCGCGAAACTCGTCTTCATTGTTCGACTCGGCGAAGTGGGCTCGGCGAAAGGATGGCTCCCCGATTTCCACCGGGAGCATTGCATCGGATCCATATACTAAGCGGAAGGGGGTTTCTTGCGTGGTCGACTAGGGTGTACATCTGTAGGCCCACAACACTTCTGGCAACTGCTCAGCCCAGGCTCCCTTTGCCTCTCCTAATCGTTTCCTCAACTCTGTTAGAATGACTTTGTTGGCCGACTCGGCTTGACTGTTAGTCTGTGGGTGCTCGACTGAAGTGACTTTGTGTTGTATTCCTAGGTCGGCTAAGAACTCCTTCAACTTTCGGTCAATGAATTGAAGGCCATTGTCGGTCACCAAGGTTGATGGGATGCCGAATCGGGTGATGATATTCTTCCAGAGAAATTTTTGAACTTGATGAGCCGAAATGCTCGCCAGGGGCTTGGATTCAATCCATTTAGTGAACAAGTCCACGGTCACGATGAGGAATTTACACTGGCCTTTGGCAACCGAGAAAGGTCCAAGTATGTCTGCCCCCCATGTGGCGAATGGCCATGCCGGAGGAATGCATTGCAGTTGCTCGGCAGGTTGGTGAATCAAGTTTCCATATTTTTGACATGGTTGACACTTCTTCACAAAATTCGAGTAATCGGTATTCATGGTCGGCCAATAGTACCCGGCGCGCAAGAGTTTGGAGAGTGTCGTTCGTTCTCCAGAATGCAATATTCCACAAATGCCCTCGTGCACTTCACGCATTACGTAATCCGCCTCTATGGTGTCTATGCACTTGAGTAGTGGGGTAGAGAAGTCACGTCTGTACAACTGATCGGCGATGATGACGTATCTACTGGCTTGCATTCTCAGTCGTTTGGCCTCTGTCAAGTCATCCGGCGTGACCCCGTCAGTGATGAATGACTTAATTTTGCCTCGCCAGTCTTAGGGTCGGTGGGGCTGGTGTGATCGGTTTCAATGCTTTCGACTATCTCCGTTTCGACACTGGGGTGGTCGAGTTCTTGCTGAATGATGGTTCTCAATTGTCCCGGTTTCTTGGTCGCGGCCAACCTGGCCAACTGATCTGCTCGGATGTTGTCCTCACGCGAGATGTGCTCGACCAATACCTCCTAAAAACTCGCCTTCATCTTTTGGTAGGCATGGTAGTATTTCATCATGTTGTGGTCCTTAACTTGGAAATTACCACCCACCTGTTCAGCTACTACCTTGGAGTCATTTAGACATTTAATCCTCGATGCACCCATGCCCTCAGCTAGTCTTAATCCTGCCAATAAGGCTTCATACTTAGCTTGGTTGTTTGAAGTCTTGAACCGAAATCCCAAGGATTGTTCCAAGGTTATCCCCCTCGGGCCTTCGAAAATTACTCCTACTCCACTTCCTTGACAGTTAGAGGAGCCGTCCACATGAAGGGTCCACCAATGCTCTTCGAACTTGCCGTGTGGGTGGAGCTCATTCACAAAGTCAGCAAGGCATTGAGCTTTGATCGGTCCCCTCGGCTTGAAGACGATGTTGAATTGCGATAACTCAACTAACCAAGCCATCATTCTTTCGGTCAGTTCAGGCTTGCCCAAGACTTTAGAGATTGGGCAATCGGTATGTACAATTATTCGCTGGCTTTGGAAATAATGCCGAAGGCGTCAAGATGTATGTACCAAGCCAAGCACCACCTTTTCTATTAACTGGTATCGGGTCTCGGGGTCTTGTAGTATTCGCCTGACAAAGTATATAGGCATTTGGCTGCCCCCTCTCTCTTGTACTAAAATCGAACTGATCGCCTCCTCGGACACAACTAAGTACAATTCAAGCAGGCTCGAGGGTTCGGGTCTCGTAAGGATCTGCGTCAACGCTAAGATCTCTTTCAGCGCTACAAATGCCTCTTCACATGGCTCGTTCCACGAGAAAGCAGAACTCTTCTGTAAAAGCTTCGTCATCGGGCTGATCTTGTCGGCCAAACGAGGGAGGAATTGGGATAGGGCGACCAATCTTCTGGATAACCATTGCAATTCTTTGAGGTTGCTCGGACTTCGCATGCCTAAGATAGCCTTGCACTTGTCTCGGTTAGCCTCTATTCCTCTAGTTGATAGCATGAATCCTAAAAATTTACCTCCCTTGACCCCGAAAGTGCACTTCTCGGGGTTGAGCCTCATGTTATGCTTGCGTAGCTCACCAAAAATTTCACCTAGGTCAGCTATGTGGTCGGTCATAAAATTGGACTTGACCACCATATCATTAACATAAATCTCAATGTTCCGCCCAATTTGCCTCTAAAACACCTTATCCATTAACCTCTGGTAGGTTGCTCTAGCATTCTTCAGTCCAAATGGCACGACTTTGTAACAAAAGTTGGCGTGCTCGGATGCGCCGTCGACGAGTCGGTCGATGCAGGAGAGTGGGTAAGCTTCTTTGGGGCAGGCTTTGTTGAGGTCGGTGTAATCGGTACACATCCTCCACTTCCCATTTGCCTTTTTGACCAACACTATGTTAGCCAGCCATGTGGTGTAGGTGACTTCTCTTATGAACTTGGCTTGCAACAACTTTTGCACCTCAGCATTCGCCGCTTTTCTCTTCTCATCTCTCATTTTTCTTTTCTTTTGAGCGACCGGTCGTGCGTATCGGCATACGGCAAGCCGATGACAAAGAAACTTGGGATTTATTCCTGGCATGTCCGACACCATCCATGCAAACAAGTCTTTGTTATCACGAATAATGCGTTTCACCCGGTTTGATTCGGCTTCGCTTAGTTGGGATCCCATGTGTGTAATTTGCTCGGGTGCTCAGCCGAGCTGAAAGGGAATGAGGTCCTCCGCCGGCTCGATTCGCTCCTCTTCACCTATCCGAGGGTCAAGGTTGATGTCGTCCATCATCTCCTGCCTTACTACATTGACACCCTTTGTCGCCGGAGGGTCGGCAATGGGCTGCACCTTCAGACTAGAAAGGTAGCATTCCCTCGCTGTCTTTTGGTCGGCGTGTACAGTTATCACTTGCCCATCCCTCGATGAGAACTTCATGCATAGGTGAGGGGTTGAGACAATGGTCCCAAGGGCATTAATGGAGGGTTGGCCTAACAGGATGGTGTAAGATGTGTTGGCGTGCACCACAATGAAACGGATTTTGAATTCTCAGAAAGTCTTTTGGTTGAAGCCAAAACGAGTGTATAGATCAATGCACCCTCTCGTCATCACTCTTTCACCCGAGAATCCTACCAATGGCTCGTGATACGGTTCTAGGCTCTCCTCCAAGATCCCCATCTGCACAAAGGTGTTTCAGTATAAATGTCGGCTGAGCTCCCTTGATCGACCAAGGTCTTCTTCACAATGCAGTTGTGCATTTCAACAGAAATCACCATGGGATCGTCCTAGACGGGGTCGACGCCGCGGAAATCCCGATCAGAAAATGTTATCGGTGGCATCCGGGGCGTCTTCGGCTAATTCACAATGCTTACCAATCGCACGGCCCGAAAGTGCCTTTTCCGTGCCGAGGAGGTGGATCCTCCTCTAGCGAAGCCTCCAGCTATTATGTTTATCACCTTTCTTGGTCGGTCGTTATCTTCCCGGGAGTGCCCTAAATGGTCCCTCCTCTCGGCTGATTGGGATCAGTGTCGACGGTCCCTCGTGTATCTTGCTTCTCGAGGGTGGTATGACCTCTCCCTTGTTGCTTGGCGGTGATTTGCAGTTGGAGTG